AAAAAAAAAAAAAAAGTCATTAGCTTGAACAGATTTCTGAATCTTCTACGTAACCAGGGCCACCTGCATGTTTGTATGGATCTGGCTGAAGCACAGGTGCATCTCCCAAGGGCAAGAGCCCCTTTCCAATTCACACCAATGCACTGGTCAGGTTAGACTGAGGGCTGCCTGAAAGTCCTCAAAGTTTAGCTGTGCTACAACACTAGAATGTTACATTCTGGGTGGCGTATGTGGCTCAGTGAGTAGGGCGCCGGCCCCATATACCGAGGGTGGCAGGTTGGAACTCAGCCCCAGCCAAACTACAACAACAAAAAAATTACCTGGGCATTGTGGTGAGTGCCTATAGTCCCCACTACTCGGGAGGCTGAGGCAAGAGAATTGCCTAATCCCAGGAGGTTGCTGTGAGTTGTGATGTATGCCATGGCACTCTACCATGGGTGGCAAAATGAGATGGTCTCTAAAAAAATAATGCTACGTTTCACATCATATTTTTTAAAGACTAGGAACATTAAACTCCAGAACTTGAATGTCAGAGATCTATTCTATGAACTACTGCAATGACTCTGTTACCAGGGAATGGGCTCAGGTTATCCATCTGCTTCCTATAAAAAGCCCAAACCTGGCTCAGTGCCTGTAGCTCAGTGGCTAGCAGGTTCAAACCTGGCCCAGGGCCTACCAAACAACAACAAAAAAAGCCAGGCATTGTGGTGGGCACCTGTAGTCCCAGCTACTTGGGAGGCTGAAGTAAGAGAATTGTTTAAGGTGAAAGCTATATTAGTTTGATGTAAGCACTCCAAATTATATTTAAAAATCAACACATTGTACCCCATATATGCATAAATGTATTCATGATCTATGTGTATATGACTTAAGAAAAAAAAAAAATTGCTTAAGCCCAGGAGTTTGAGGTTGCTGTGAGCTACCAAGGGCGACATAGTGAGACTGTCTAAAATGCAGCCCAAACCCTATTGCTATGACTCCTTATGGGACCCAGCTTTCAGCCACACTGCCCTTTGGCCAATTTAGCCTGGAAGCTTCTCCCTGTAGCGAGCCCCAAGGCACTACCTCCAGAAAATAGAAGCGGTCTGGCCCGCCCGTCGAGTAGTCCTGAACACACTGGGGCAGGTCTTCCCCGTACTCCACGGCACAGCGGCCCTGCACCGCTTTGAAGTCTACCACAGCCTCCTCGTCACTCCAGTACAGCAGGTTGATGTCTGCATGGTAGCTCGCCGGGGTGGACTTGTGAGTGTTCTCGGGCCTGGAAGTGGAAAAGGCCTCGTTAGGAACAGTCTTTTGCTAGGAGCTTACGCTGAATTAAATGGCATCACATTCCTAGGGGTACTTAGGAATCCTTCAGTAAAAGGGTCTAACCTCGCCAAGCCGGTTAAGACAGCTTGACTGGTCTCTCCCCACTAGCTAGCCCCCTGGCCCCACACAACTCCTAGAAGCCTTTTAGAGTTTCCTTTTCCCACCTATACCAGCTGCACATCTTTTTTCCTTTCATGTTATTATAACTGACTACTTCACAAAGACTTTAGGAAATCTCTGACCTACACTAGCTAAGAAGTAAGGCAAATGCATACCTCATTGCATAGCTTAGTTGCAGGTTAGCTCCTAACCACTACCAGTTACTAGGATTCCAAGAAAAGAAAATGGAGTCAAGCCAAGAGCTTGGGAAAAATATAGAGAGGGAAAACACCAGAAACAGATGGAGGGCCTGGTACAAGCTGGGAGGGTCCCATAGGGACAATAGGACAAAACCCAGATAAAACAATCATAAATAGATCTTTGCAGGTTCTCTGGGGCTTGCCTAAGACAGAGCCCCAAATACTCCACCCCTGCTTGGCACTCTGGACTTTTGCTTAAGTATTTCTTCTGGATGAAGAGCTCTGTAGCTCTAAAGTAAGGACCTAAAAGCTTAGGGACATAAAATATAACCGTAATTGTTAGTACCCACCAGATAATCACAAAACACTTGGAAAAGCAGCTATCCCTACACCTAACTGCTAAAATACAACTGTGGGTGCTATGTGACAGCTCCATTTCAGAGACTTCTAGAAGAGTCTGAGCCTTTGCCAACCTGTAGAACTTGTTGAGCCTGATCTTGATGTCGGCCTCATTGGGCTTGCCATTGCTCTTCTTAGGACAGAAGATCTCCTTTATCCGGCCTATTCGGTAGGGCTCAGGGGCATCCAAGTTGCTACCTTTGATATAGTCAGAATACTTCCGGTAGTGTTCAGGATACAGGTCTTCATCCACAGGCTCCTTCCGTGGGCGTTTCACAGGACTGGAGAGCTTGATGCTGCAGAGAACAACCATTTGGCAAACTGAATGTTTATTTTTAAGACAGTCTCACTGTGTTGCCTTTGTTAGAGTGCTGTGGTGACACAGCTCACAGCAACATCAAACTCTTGGGCTTAAACGATTCTCTTGCCTTAGCCTCCCAAGTAGGTGGGACTACAGGCACCTACCACAATGCCTGGCTATTGTTTTTGTTGGTGGTGTAGTTGTCACTACTGTTTGGCAGGCCCAACCAAGTTTGAACCAGCCAACCTCAGTGTTTGTGGTCAGTGCCCTAACTGCTAAGCTATGGGCACCGAGCCTGAACATTAAATCTTACAGTGGTTAATTCAGCATGCTGACTAGTGACTATTCACATTTAAAGTTGGACCCCTTTTAAGCTACTGCAGCAAGTACCCTTAAGGAAAGATCTACATCGAGGTTAAATCCCAGCCGCCTTGCTCTCCTGACCAGCCCCAGAGTCTGACAGGCTACAAAGGCACTTCATGCTTACAAACCTGCTTTCCCTTCCATGCCAAGGACAACCAGGATCCAGGAGGTAGAAGTAACATGCTCAAATACATCAAGGCCAGAGACACCTCATCTCCCTGTGCTCCACCAGTCACAGTAACTAAACTATAGGTGAGGAATGGTTCCATACTGGGACACTAAGAGAATTGCAAGCTGCAAAAACTGAACTAGGTTTGGAAAATGTTGGTTGTATTCCAATCATGAATGTGTTCTTAGAATGAGCACAGAATGGATCGAGTGTGGAAATGATCTGTAGCTTTTTCTTTTCAAGAAGGGCCTCAGTCCTCTGACACATGAGTCATCTAATGTGAGTTTTTATTTATTTATTTAGTTTTAAGAGACAGAGTCTCACTTTATCGCCCTTGGCAGAATGCCATGGTGTCACAGCTCACAGCAACCTCCAATTCCTGGGCTTAGGCGATTCTCTTGCCTCAGCCTCCTGAGTAGCTGGGACCACAGGCACCTGCCACAATGCCCACTATTTTTTGTTGCAGTTTGGCTGGGGCCGGGTTTGAACCCACCACCATCGGTATATGGGGCTGGCATCCTACTCGCTGAGCTACAGGCACTGCTTATGAGTTACTTCTTGGTAAACAGAAATGATATTGCTAAACTTTAAGCCAGGCACTGTGCAAAGCACTTTTAACTCTTAGAGCCTTCCTTAGCAGGTGACATGCCACTCTTCCCACCTCAAAGACAGGGTCTGGGGGGCCTTATCTGGCCCAAAGCCTTAAGGTTAGCTGACCACAGGTGCTTTCTGCCAGTGACTTCTGACTGCTTATAGACTCAGAGGAATTACCTGAGGAATTACTTCTGACTTCTTATAGACTCAGAGGAATTACCTCTCAGAGGAATTTCTCTCTGCAAGGGAATTACCGCCACTCTATTGGGATAGCTGGATGCTATCTGTCTATCACAGTTATTACTGTAATGGCTTGGGCAGCAGCTGGCACTGAGGGGTTGGGGTAGGAGTGTCTGTGTGCACAAGGACATAACAAAGCACTTTGGCCCCAGCCCTACTTAGACAAAGGAGCCACTCACTTGAATGTGAAGGCCTCAGGTAGCAGGTACACACCATCGCCCACCCGATATTGAATGCCGTTCTTAGTGGCTGAATAGTAGAGGACCCGGCCATCCAGGTCATCAAGTTGCTCCAAGACCCTGGGGATTTCTTTTTGCCTCATTTCAGCCAGACGGGCACAGCTTGCACAGAACCTGAAGGTATGAAAGACAGAAAAATGAGGCCTTAAGGCTGCTGGCTTAATCCATAGAGTCTGGAAATCAAGAAGTTAAGACATTTACACACTCAAAGGAACTGGCTAGGCTGTACTTTATGTTCAAATTTTGAAGACACTTAATTGAAACACAAAATTACAAGCCAATCCCATCAATGCAAAAATCCTAAGACATTAGTGAATAGAATGTAGAATATAGTTAAGAACACAGTGAGTAGTTCAGTGAGGAGCACAGAACAGCCGAGGCAGCTCACGCTGTGCTTTCTACAAAAGCACTCAAGGAAGTTCAACATTATTGATTAATAATCCCTTAAAGGAGAATTGAAGACTGCCTTAAAAAATAAAGATGGAAAAAATTAACAAAAATAGAGATTGAGCCAAAGTCAGCATCAGGCTTATGGGAGAAGCACATCAGCACCTAAGGGAGCCTCCTTACCTCTTCTTTGCCACCCCTTGTTGTGCTCTAGAGGTACTGGCAGTCACTTTTAGTAGAAGCAAGTGAAGTGCAGAGGTTTAAAAAAAAGGCACTAGGTGTTTAAGGAAAAAAGGCCTCCCTTAAAGCAGTTACCTCCCAGTTAGAATAAAGTAAAAGATTTTTCAAGAGAAAATACCTCAGAAATGAAAGTATGTAAGGCCTGTGGCCTACACACTGAAGGACACCACAAAGTCTTTTTTTGTTGTTGTTGAGATAGAGCCTCAAGCTGTCCCCCTGGGTAGAGTGCCGTGGCATTACAGCTCACAGCAACCTCCAACTCCTGGGCTCAAGCGAGTCTCCTGCCTCCGCCTCCCAAGTAGCTGGGACCACAGGCGCCCGCCACAACGCCCGGCTATTTTTTGGTTGCAGCCGTCATTGTTGTTTTGGCAGGTCCGGGCTGGGGATTCGAACCCGCCACCTTAGGTGTAGGTGGCTGGCGCCTTAGCCGGTTGAGCTATAGGCGCCGAGCCACCACAAAGTCTTAAAACCAAAAGACGAGCCAGATAAGGAGGCTCAAACCTATAATCCTAGCACTTTGGGAGACTGAGGCAGAGGAAGATCACTTGAGGCCAAGTGTTTAAGACCACTCTTGGCCAAGGACCACCCTGTAGCAAGAGGCTACAGTGAGTTATGATTGTGCCACTGCACTCCACCCTGGGTAAGAGAGCAAGGCCCTATGTCTTAAAAAAAAAAAAAAAGTAACTCCTGATCACCTATACACTTAAAGCAATACCATACAGTCAGACTAGTCTTTGGTGAGCAAGGAACACGTGGTGGGGAAGGTGACACACTTAATCAGACTGGAAGCACACAGAAGGCAAGAGTGACCTGTGTAGAAAGTGTGCCAGGGGGCGGCACCTGTGGCTCAAGGAATAGGGCGCCAGCCCCATATACCAAGGGTGGCAGGTTCAAACCCAGCCCCAGCCAAACTGAAACAAAAAAATAGCTGGGTGTTGTGGCAGGTGCCTGCAGTCCCAGCTACTTGGGAGGCTGAAGCAAGACAATTGCCTAAAGCCCAAGAGCTGGAGGCTGCTGTGAGCTGTGATGCCACAGCATTCTACTGAGGCCAACAAAGTGAGACTGTCTCTTAAAAAAAAAAAAAACGTGTACCAAGACAAGGAGAACCCCAAGCCCAGCCCCAGTACTCACTTGTACTTGTTATCCTCTGTTGGCTGGATTTGCGGAGGTGACTCAAATCTCGCATAATCTTGGTCATACCACAACTGGTAGAAATAGGTCTTCCCATCGTCCTCTGGCAGCAGGGACTCAGGATCCATGCCTCCCTATGGGAATAAAGACAGCTATCAGCCATGGCCCTGCATTCACAGTAAAGCAGGAGTCCATAACGGGCACCGGGAACTCACCTCCATGGCCCAGTTTTCAGAGGGAGCTTTATAAATGACCTTCACTTTGCTATAAATGTACGAGAGCTGCATGTCCTCACATTCATCTACCAAGAACAGTTCCAGAGGGTCCGAGGTGGCCCCAAGGACGGTATCTGTCCCGGCACAGAACCAATGGGCATGAAACATCTGCCCGTTGCTGCTGTCCTCCCACAGAGCTGTGACCCTGGATTGGAAGATGGGCATAGGAAGAAAGTTTTAATGTGATTAGTACACACATGACTGAGTCTACTTAGGTAGATTTTGTCTTTTCTGGTTTTAGCTGCCGTTACTATTCTGGCAAAACAAGCATCTCCTACTCATTTGTGAGAAATTGTGTGTGGAAGTCAGGGAAAGGGGAAGATACAGACCTCGCTAGATACAGCGGTTTGGAGGAATCATCTGGAATAACAGAGACACAGTCTCCTACTTCCAAGGTTTCCGCATCAATGCAGACTTTCTTATAGTAACTCTTCTTCCCATCAGTCTGAAAATCAGTTTAATTTCAGGTAAGGATCATTGTGAAGGTCCTCACTAGGTTTGTTCTCTGCTACTTTACATAAGCACACGCTATACAATAATCTCATTTAAAAGCCATGAGAGCTCATTAAAAACCCTAGCTACTAAAGAGCATCCACCTTCTATAGCCAATGCTGCACCAAAGAGCATTTGAGACTCTCCAACCTCAGCCCTGTGCCTCAGTGTCAGCTACCACCCAGGGTCCACAATTTGATTTTAACACCACATTCCAGAATCCGACCCTCAGCCCTCTCTGGCTGGGCAGCCCCTGCTCTATCTACCCTCATCACAGGAGCCTCCTCCCTTTTTTCCAGTGAGGTCAGCTGACTGACTCCTCAGGGTAGGTCTTGCCCAGGGCTTCATATGGCTGGTTCCCATCTCACCTTCTGTCCTGGCTCAGGTGTCACCTCCTCAAAGCCTCACGGCCCTGAGGCCCTTTTCAACGCTCCATGATACCAGAGCACCTAGGTACATACTACACCTAACATACATGTGTCTGTCCTCCCAAAGGGGCCCAGCACAGCACCACCCCTAGGTGGTTGGCCTCACATTTGTTGAGCAAGTGCTGAATATGGGCAGGCACGGTGGCTCACATCTGTAACCCCAGCACTCTGGGAAGGTGAAGTGGAAGGATCCCTTGGGCTCAGAATTTGAATACCAATCTGAGCAAGAGCAAGATCCCATCTCTACTAAAGAAAAAAAAAAAAAAGAATCAGCTAGGCATTGTGGTGGGTGCCTGTAGTCCCAGCTACTTGGGAGGCTGAGGCAGGAGGATTGCTTGAGCCCAGAAGTTTAAGGTTGTTGTGAGCTATGGCACCATAGCACTCTAGCCTGGGGCAAAACAGTATAACTCTTTAAAAAATAAAAAAAAAAAACCAGAACTAAATATCTTGAATTCACAGACGTCAGGAAGGTGACACTAAAAGGACATCCACCCTCCACATTACGGTAAAGGAAATGACCCTCACCTAGGCTGATGACCACAGAATTGCTAGTGCCCTGAAAAGACCTATTCCCAGGCCAGAGGAGGCAGTTATGGCAACCTCTTATCTAGTCCTGCTCTTCTCATGGGCCAAATGAGCAGGTTTCTTGGCAGCAGGGGTAAGGCTGCCCAAGTGGCTGGTTGCAAAGACAGGAGATGACCAACTTGTCAAGAGTGTGGCAGTGACCTGACAGGCTTTCTCCAAGGTTACCTTCACAGCTTCTCCGATCCAGGAGATCCGATTCTTGTTCTGTTTCTTTTTCTTCCCCTGGTGCATTTTTTTGGGTGACGGCATCTCTGGGATATTATCATCAACTTCCTCATCATCATCTGCCTCCTTCATGGCCATGTTGGGACACCTGTGAAGTCTGGTTTTAACAAAGGACCCCAAACCATCTTTCTAAGTAAAACTTTGGTCAAGTCAGAAGAAGAGGCCTGGGGATAACACTGAATCCTGCCTGCTCTGCACATTTCCACCCAGCTGTCCCACACAAAAGGGACAGGTAGGTCTCTGCCACGACATGTTTGCCATCAGCTAGCATTGTCCTCTGTCCCAAGAATGAGAGTCTGCCCAACCTACCTCCTCTCCTGGCAAGCCTGCTTGCTTCGTCCACTACCACCAAATTTAGTCATGTCCTTACAGGCTTTACACTTTCCACATTCAGGCTGTTGACAAACCTAAAAAGCATTAAAAAGGTGAATCAGGCCAACCATAGTGGTTCACATCTGCGATCCTATCACTTAGGGAGGCCAAGGTAGGAGGATCACTTGAGGCCGGGAGTTCACAACCAGCCTGGGCAACATAGTGAGACCCTGTCTCTACAAAAAAAATTTTAGATCAGCTGGGTATAGTGTTGCACGCCTGTAGTCCCAGCTATGTGAGAGGCTGCTGGAGCTGGAGGATCACTTGAGCCCAGGTGTGTGAGGCTGCAGAGAGCTATGATGACTCCACTGCATTCTAGCCTGGGTGACAGAGCAAGAACCTGTCTCAAAAAAATAAAAAAAAATTTTTTTTTAAGAGTTACAAATATTGGACACAAATGTGCTAAATGATAAAACAAGGCCAGATATGGTGGTTCACGCCTGTAATTCTAACACTCTGGGAGCCTGAGGTGGGTAGATCACTTGAGCTGGAGACCAGCCTGAGCAAGAGTAAGACCCCGTCTCTAAAAATTCCTGGGTGCTGTGAAGGGCACTTGTAGTCCCGGCTACTTGGGAGGCTGAGACAAGGGGATTGCCTCTGCCCAAAAGTTTGAAGTTATTGTGAGATATCATACCACAGCACTGTACCCAGGGCACAGAGTGAAACTGTCTCCCCCCACCCCAAAAATTTAAACTTAAAAAATGAGAAAAAAAAACCAACACAAGAATAGTGAGGACATGCAAGGTCCTGTTAAAAGAGCAGAAGACAAAAAGGGAAGGCAAGGCCCAAAGCCTATGTGAAGAGTGGCCACCAGGTAGGCCTCTGAAGGCAGGTGCAGTTTTTTTACATTTAAGTTATCATTCCAAAGAAAGTCAAATAGATACCAAAATATACCTGATCTACGGGTCCTGGAAAATCAAATAGATACCAAAATATACCTGATCTTTGGGCAATTCCTCAAAGAGAGGTAAATATGGATTTTAAAATTCACAAGAAAAAAAAGGCCTTCTAAAGCCTCAAATCTAAGTTGGACAAGGTACTCACCTTCCCAAGAGGTCTGGAGAGAGGAAAGCCCCTGGGAAGACTTCCTCTTCCTCAGATGGGGCCAAGCCTTTGTGGGATGGCCGTTCCCCAGTGCTCACACTGGGGCTTTCAGTCACAATGAGACGTGGGCAGGACAAGCCCATGGAGGAAGCCAGACTTTCTGGTTAGGGACAGTGGCATTAACAGCAAAACTTCCGAGCACACCTCCCTTGACTTCTGTCCTGTCAGTGTTTTTCCCACGAGTCACGCAGGGGTCCCCCCTCAGACTACTTTCTCACAACTTCCGTTTTAGGGGTCACATGTGAGCAATGAGAGTGTCAAGCCACAAAGAAAGGAGTTTCTCAGACATGACCCAGGGCAAGGTTACCTCACAGACACCACAGCGCCGACGTTTAAAGGCATTCTCCTTGTCTTCTCTGTCATCCTTTTCAATTTGTTCTGAGAAGAAAGTGTCAAAGATCTGGTAGACCAGCTTGGTTGTGGTGGCTTTCGTGGGTCCTTTGTCCTTCTCCTTGGTAGAATGCTTGATAGTCTGACGGCTCTTGGCACGCCTGAGAGAAAGGTTTCAGCGTTTTAGCCAACTAGGGAAGAGACATGTTCTGCCTCCCAGTCTCAGGTCTTCAGTCTTCTTGCTGTACCCTTACCTCTGTCCCAGAGTGACCCCAGCCAGCTTGATCAGGGCCCTCATGCAGGGGCTCAGGAAGATGGGTGGCTCATCACTGTCTCCGGCTTCATCGTAACTCTCCACTTGCCCCACCACAAACTGTGCGTGTCGAAGGAGGGAATCCTCCGTGAAACGATTCAAGTTGAGTACAGAAGGAGGAACAGTCGTCTGGAAAAAGACCATCAGAGGTTTCTTCACGCTTAAGCAAAACTGTCCTAACTGAGCTAAGGAATAGTTTCTGCTGATTTTGGATGAGTTTAGGGGGTGACCCGCCAGGTTAGGAAGAACCTCAATCTCTTACCTCGATCTTATTGATCAGATCTTCATAGGTTGAGTGAGGATTGCTCTGTAGCAACTCAACCACGATCTTACTAATGTAGATCTTCTCCTGCATCAGACCAAATATCGGTGCATACTCTGGGCTGGGATCCATCAGAATGTATTCAGCAAATGCTGGAGTAAACAGGCAATGTTTTAAAAAGAAGTTTGACTCTTAGGGCACCTATGGGGGCTACAGGGAAGGGATGAACCTATCAAGTTTACTGATTAGACCAAAAGTCATTCCACACCCAAATGTCAAAAACAGAAAGCACAATGCATCATAGCTGCCCCATTTTTATTTCTTACTTATACATGTGTATATTAGGTTTCCACTTTTGCCTTCACATAATTAAAAAGGCTAAATTCATAGCTGCCTCATTCTTAAGTGTCTTATCTGAACCAGCTAGAAAATGGATTGGGCTTTCATTGACTTTTCTCTGGTTTTTGGAGTTCAGTCTGGGTTTGAGTAAGAATAAGACCTGCTTGTACAATTGAAGGGTCAGTTCCAGGGCCAGGGGTAACTAACACAAGAAACCATCTCAACTGAACCCACTAGGTTCCCACTTGGTCACGTGGCATTCTGTAAGACTTCCCATGAGAGCCCAACCAAGCCTCAAGAAGGACAGACTACAACTGGCCACACACTTACAAGTGCTGAAACCGATGAGAGCCTTTTCACCTCCATCAAAGCCAGTAAGCCACCACTCATTTATAGGGCCAAGATTTTTGCCATTAACACCACCTTGAGGGGAAAAAGTAGAAACAGTTTCCCTCCCAAAACCAGACTAAGGAACCACGACCCACATCCCAAACCAGGAGGGCTAAGCGGCACTGTGACTGCCCAGCTCAGTGGGCATCTCATCTGCCAGGCCAGGAAGATCTTGGAGTCATCACAGTGACTTTGTCTACAGCCATCCAAGCACAGTCTCAAGCTGGCAGTAACTCTGGCTGAATATTGCTCTGTAATAAGTTATGTTTATTTAGAGAACATCTATCCCAAACATAATCCACTTACCTTCAAGAGAGGGGTCATCATCATAGATTGGTTTTGCTGAACCAGAAAAAGAGAGCTCGATATTCTTCTCAATCAGGCCGGTGTCAATAGGACATAGATGACCGTGCTTACAGTATACACTGGACAGGAAACAACACAAGGGCTGACATGAGCCTCAGCAAAAGCACAGGTACCCCAGGCCTCCCCTCAAAGAGGCACCAGGGTCACTGCCATGACCTGCCTCACCCCTGCCCTACCCTACCTACTGACTGCACCCCTCATGCCCCTGAACTCACTGTTCCTCCACCTGGGGTGCTCAGCCCCTAGCTACCCTGTGGCCTGTTCTTTTATGCCACTGAGTTCTCTGCTCAAATCACTGTCCCTCCCTTTCTATACAGAACTTCTTCCTGCCCATGCTAAATGTCACCAGGCCTATAAATTCTGCCATATTGTGACTGACAAGCATCTTATCTCTACAAATGGAGACACCCAAGCTGCTACATCCACTATATCTAGTTCAGTGTCCAGCAGAGAGCTGGCCTTCATATGAACATGTCTGGCCTTCACAATGTGTATAGACCAGAGCCTCAGATAGTTTTTTTTTTTTTTTGGCAGGAGTAGGATTTGAACCATCAGGTAGTTTCAATAAAATTTAAAAAGCCCCCCTACCACTATACCAGCATGAAGTGTTACTAGCGTAAGTAATGTTGCAGATTAGGCTCAAACATCACCAGAATGTTAAGAATGTAGGTGTCTTCAGACAAGTACTTTCATTGCTAAGCAAACACGGGAAAGCGCATCAGTTACCTGAAACATGTCAGTTTGTGCTGGGGAAGAGCCTCGTAACTCTCAAAGCCAGATTCATTGGCATCGAAGATGGACAGTTTCTCATTTGTCAACATCTGCAGCTCATCCACCTGAGGGACACTGGACCATTAAAACATGCCAGGAAAGATGGCAGATAAAAGGCCGAGAAGAGCTGGGAACATACCGCATCAGGGGGATGCTGCCCATACTTGAGGTCCGGGTCGTCCAGGTACTGTCCACACTGGAGGCACTTGGGAGGGTGGGTCTGTGGGTACATGGACAGTGCTTAGGGAAGCAGCTCCAAGCAGCAGCCCTGGCAGCACCACCTGCTTTATTCCCACACAGACGTTTACCTTGGAGCTCACAGCTGTTTTGGTTCGAGCCATTTTTCTCTCAGTTCTGGGAACAGAGCATAAAAGCACAAGACCATTTGTTTAGCCATTCTGCAATGTATCAAAATCGCCCCATCAGATTTACACCCAATGCACCTGGCACAGGTTAAGTGTCTGCTGCTGCAGTGAGGACCAGGCGCTAGGTCACATGTGGGTTGTTTTATTTTGCTTCTATTTATATGGTGACACAAGTGAGTCTGTACCAGGAGGGAATCCTGCCTAATACAATGGAACTGGATCATGGATCATCTTGGTCCATGTGCTCACTAACCCAATTCAATACAAAGCTAAGGTTGCTTTAAGCAACCTACTAAAAACTCCTTTCTCATTTCATTCTAGAACAATCATTTAAATATTATAATCTGCTTAGTATAAAGACAGACACAGGCAGTCTCTCTGAACTTACTCTGGTTCAGGGGACTGCCTGACTAAAAATAAAGACAGAAATAAATTCTCACGTTTCTCTGGGTGTCGTTTTGCGTCTCTTCTCTTCCTATATGGGGAAAACACAACAGAAGTGTAAAAAAGGGTCATGCATGGATTGTGCTTCAGAGTTAAGGATATTATACATGCTGACTATCACAAAACTTGGTCATGGGTAGGGAGGAAGGAAGTGAGAGAACCAGTAGGTGAGACCTGACTAATCCCAGTATCTAAAATCTTATTTTCAAAAGTCTTATGACTAAAGATTTCCTTAAAAGATTCATAGAAGAAACAAAATTTTTAAAATCTTAGCTTTTTTGTATAAGTGGTACCTCAAGGTAAGAAAATAATTGAGGGGTGTATCGTGAAATTTTGTCCCCTCTCCCCCTAAACTCATTAAAATCCTAACCCCCAATGTGAGTATTTGGACATAGGGCCTTAAGGGGGTAACTAAGGTCAGATGAAGTCCTAAGGGTAGGGTCCTGATGTCCTTATTAAAAGACACCAGATGGCTCGGTGCCTGTGGCTCAAAAATGGCTAAGGCGCCAGCCATATACACCTAAGGTGGTGGATTCAAAACCAGCCCAGGCCCACCAAAACAACAATGATGGCTGCAACCAAAAATAGCCAGGCATTGTGGCAGGCGCCTGTGGTCCCAGCTACTTGGGAGGCGGAGGCAGGAGACTTGCTTGAACCCAGGAGTTGGAGGTTGCTGTGAGCTTGTCAGCTGTGATGCCACAGCACTCTACCCAGGGGGACAGCCTGAGGCTCTGTCTCAAAAAAAGAGACACCAGAGCCTACCCTTTTCACATGCAAACACAGAGGGAAGGCCATGTGAGGACATGGGGAGAAGGCAGCTATGTGCAAGCCAGAGAGGCTTCACCAGCAAATAACCAGGCTGGCACCTTGATCTTGGACTTTTAACCTCGAAAACTGTCAGAAAATAAAGGTCTATTCATCTAAGCCACCCAGTCTGATATTTTCTTAAGGCAGCCAAGACACTAATCCAATATCTCTAGAATTATTCTGGGTAAACAAAGGAATGATAAAACTAGACTATTGCCACTTTACAACTCCTAGTAAATAATGAATTTAGGCAATATTAAAAACAGAAGGTGGGTAGTCACAGCTACTCAGGAAGCTGAGGCAAGAGAATCGCTTAAGCCTGAGCTGGAGGTTGCTATGAGCTGTGATACCATGGCACTTTACCGAGGGCAACATAGTGAGCTCAGGCAATCCACCCACTTTGGCCTCTGAAGAGTGCTAGGATTACAAGCATGAGCCACCACAAAGAGTTTAGGGTTTTAAGCAGCTATGTTTTGGGGTAAGTTGTTAAAAAACAAGAGAGAACTAGTAATAAAACAAATGGTAAGGGCTGGGCACAGTGGCTCACACCTGTAATCCCAGCACTTGGGAGGCCAAGGCAGGTGGATTGCCTGAGCTCACAGGTTCCAGACCAGCCTGAGCAAGAGCGAGACCCCATCTCTAAAAATAGCCAGGTGTTGTGGTGGGTGCCTGTAGTCCCAGCTACTTAGAGGCTGAGGCAAGAGAATCACTTAAGCCCAAGAGTTCAAGGTTGCTATGAGCTATAACACCACAGCACTCTACCCAGGGCAACAAAGTGAAACTGTCTCAAACAAACACACAAAATACCACTGTATAGACCTTGTTTTCATCCTGATTCACACAGACTAAAGCCATAACAGACAGTCAGGGAAATCCAAACAGACTCATGTTTGATGTTACCGTGTATGTATTATCATGGTGGTGTGATTGTGTTTATAATAAGAGCCCTTTCCTCTTATATTTCTGTGTTAAATACTTTAGCAATGTGTCTAAAATCTGTTCAGTGTCCCCGCAGGAGTGAGGGTGAGGGGAGAACGACTAGGATCTGGCTGAAACATGCTTAGCCTTGAGCTGATAAATGTTAAGACTGATGTGGTCAGCTCGGCGCCTGTGGCTCAAGCGGCTAAGGCGCCAGCCACATACACCTAAGGTGGCGGGTTCGAATCCCCAGCCC